AGTTTAATCTCCGTCTACACTAGAAACTACCGAGTTAAGGTTCCTGTATAAACTAGAAGCTATTGAGTTTGATCTCCGTCTACACTAGAAACTACCGAGTTAAGGTTCCTGTATAAACTAGAAGATATTGAGTTTGGTGACTGTCTACACTAGAAACTACTGAGTTAAGGTTCCTGTATAAACTAGAAGATATTGAGTTTGGTGACTGTCTACACTAGAAACTACTGAGTTAAGGTTCCTGTATAAACTAGAAGATATTGAGTTTGGTCTCCGTCTACACTAGAAACTACCGAGTTAAAGTTTCTGTATAAACTAGAAGCTATTGAGTTTGATCTCTGTCTACACTAGAAACTACTGAGTTAAAGTTTCTGTATAAACTAGAAGCTATTGAGTTTGATCTCTGTCTACACTAGAAACTACTGAGTTAGGGTTCCTGTATAAACTAGAAGATATTGAGTTTGATCTCCGTCTACACTAGAAACTACTGAGTTAGGGTTCCTGTATAAACTAGAAGATATTGGGTTTGATCTCCGTCTACATTAGAAACTACTGAGTTAAAGTTTCTGTATAAACTAGAAGCTATTGAGTTTGATCTCGTCTACACTAGAAACTACTGAGTTAAGGTTCCTGTATAAACTAGAAGATATTGAGTTTGATCTCCGAGTTTTTCAAATGACTAATACAAATTGACATCCATTGATCACACAATAAAAACAGTTATATATATATATATATAACCTAATTAGTTCATTAATCGAAGCTTAAACTTGAAAGAAAAAAAAGGTGTACAAATACTGTTTAATCAGAAAACGCCAGAAGATTGATATTTCATTAAAATTACAATTTCAGTAACGTAGCGTAGGTACATTCAAGTTATTTACTGCTAACTCTTTTCAAATATATTGTGGTTTTATCGAATCTGTTTTTCTTTTATTGCTTTCTTTCTGGCTTCTCATCACAGGAGGTAAGTGTTTACTTATTTGTTTTAATTTTAGTGCCATGGTAATTTTTAAATCGCTTTTTACATATGGTTCAAATCGTTTCTAAAACTTTGGAGAAAATTCCAGACATAACAGCCACGCCCATCCAATTATATTAAACTTCCAGTTAAACACCAATACAATTTTTTTTAATGTTTAGATTAAAAAAACTTAAGCAACAACGCTACGTTCAACAATGATACTTTCTGTAACGAAACTCTCGAAGCCCGGAAAAGTTTAGTTTTATTGTGTTTTGAACACATTATTATGTTAGCTGTTACGTTCTCTTGTGAGAGCATAATTTTGTGTTCTTTTCCCACTCACTGAGAGGAAAATCATTTAAATAGTTTTAGAATTCAGGGTAGAAATGATATTTTTTTTAAATAAAATATTTGTTCAAATTTCTTCTTTTCATTTTCGCAAAAGCTGCGATAAATGTTCGCACTATTCATGTTTTAGTCTTAGGAAATCTTTAAAATTATACGTAGAATAAAAGTTAGTTTAAAACCCGTTTGTGAAGGTGAAACAAACGTGGAAACTTTCACAATATTTCAAAAGGATATGCAAGAAAGGTGAGTTAATATTATCATAATGTACCTATGTTAATATATAGTTGAAGGCTGTCACGTTATATTAACTACCTCATTCCGGTATTTTCTTACGTTCTGAAGTTTCAGAAACCATATGCTTCTTAATTGTTCAAATAGAAAATATTATATTGTTATACGAATGTGGTACTTTGTAAGTAGTGATTTATTAAATAATATATATCTGTTCACAAATTTGCTTGAACGTTATTTTTAGCCACGGCTCATAGAATGGCTCCGAGTTATTTTTTCAAAGCACAAACTTTTAGCTCATAGCTCTATCTCTTGACCGATTTGAGATCTAATTGAGGATTCCCTCTTCTTTTTTTCATATATATATATACAGATGTTAGAAAGAGTATTATTGGTCAAACACTTGGTGGTTTACTGTTTGCTACTCTTGGAGGGCAACCTTTGGTTATTATAATGACCACAGCACCTTTGGCGTTATACATCAAAGGTAAATAATTATGTTTTCTAATTATTAAATGATAGATAAATAATTCACTTCAATTTATACAATATAAAATTCAGCTTACTGTTTGTCGTAATTTACAAAGATATGTGAACTAATTGAGAGAAACAACAGTTTTATGGAATTAGACCTCTATTTCATTAAGCCTAATATACTTATATTTTTATAATGATATGGTAAGTTAGAGACGAAAGGGGGATACGCGATGTTGTATTGGAAGAGAAGCAACTTTACATCTATAACAGATCATCAGTTCCTATAGTAAATAGGCCAAATGTGGCCTCGTGCCGGATTGTGGATTTAAGGTCCAAGGTTCACGTCCCACTGCCGCAAAAAATCACGCATCGCAATTTAGGGCTGATGATGCGTTATAAGAGTGACGGTTCCCACTATTTGGTCAGATAAGTGAAGCCAACGGGTTCTCTTTATTCTGTCAGTTCAAAATTAGGGACAGCTATACACAGATAGTCCTTGTGAAGCTTATCACAAATATCCGAAACAAACCTAACCAAACCTTTTTTGTAAATTTCAGGTAACATTTAAATCTATTTTTTTCAAAACATCTTTAATTATTTTAAAAATCTGACAATAATAAAACCAGCCGTAAATATGTCATTTTCCAGAACATTATAACTGCTATTTGTGGATTTTTTTTTCTTTTCAAAGACCAGCAGCATTGCCAGGTGGTTAGGGCGCTTGACTCGCAATCTATGGGTCGCGTGTTCTAATCCCCATCCCACCAAACATGCTCGCCCTTTCAGCCATGGGGGCTTTATAATGTGACGGTCATCCCACTATTCGTTGGTACAAGAGCAGCCTAAAAGTTGGCGGTGTGTGGTGATGACTAGCTGCCTTCCCTCTAGTCTCTCGCTGCTAGATTAGGGACGGCTAGCGCAGATAGCCCTCGTGTAGCTTTGCGCGAAATTCAAACAATCTGGTAGATACACAGCTTAAAACACATACTTTTTGTCTATTGATCATGCGCTGTACTTACATGTTTCAATGAGATTAACTTGGTGAATTTTAGGCCTAGATTCATCTAGGCCTTATATTCATTACTTAACAACTGTTTATTTAAATTTATAGAATATTCTGTTTTTACTCTACGAGGCAAAACGCACGCGAAAAGTTTCGTTGAGGTTTATTACTTTTTAAAAATATATTGTCTGCTAATTTATACGTTTATAAAGAGCTTTAGGTATTCGTGTAAACATCACAGATTAAATTGTATGTTTTATTTATTTTACGTACAATGTAGTAGCATAACACTAAATTATTCTGATATTTTACTACCCTTTTTTTTTTCATCTAATATTTTGAATGTTATTTGTTTTGTTTACATCATGTGGGGAACTTGTGCTAATATTGATATTATATTTTTCAGTAATATACAGTATATGCGAAGATTTTAATTTAAATTTCTACGCCATGTACGCATGCGTTGGCCTATGGAACACCTTCTTCCTGGTGATGTATGCCCTATGTGATGCAAGCAAACTTATGACATTTTCCACTAGGTGAGTTATTTTCTTATTAATTTTACTTAGTTTTTTTTTTTTTTTTTCTCTGATTTATCCAATGGATTCTCGCGCTTAACGTTCCTAGTATAATGGAAAGTTTCTACAGCAGCTCACGAAGACTTTTTTGTATGAAAATTATATAAGTAAATATATTTGACAAACACACGCAAAAAAGAAAGAAAAAATTGGACTGGACTATTATATCACTGTGACGAGAACTTACTAAGTAAGTGTAGTTTTATAAAATAAAAAAAAGTTGAAATGACACTTGTGTAAATTAAAACAAAAACTGTTGTAAAAAGAAACCAACGTTTAATGATACACAATAAATATTTAAAAATAAAACTGTCCCGAGTCTCAATATACAATAGAACATTTATTCGGTATTTGCTGTATAAAGATAAAAAAACAAAAAACAAACGAGATTGAATACACAATCGTACGAGATTGTTGCCAGTCTCAAGGTTTTTATTTTTATTCAGCAAAATATTAAATAAACGTTTAATTGTATTTTGAGTATGGGAATAGTCTTTGAACAACTTTGTTACTCTAAAAATGATGTTTGGTTTGTATGAATACTTATTAATGATAAAAAAAGGCAAATTTTCGTTGTGTCAGATAACACTGATATTGATTATGCTACGCTTCAATTCAAAGTAACCGATAATTAGGGATGGCTTTGTGCAAATAGCATTTTGTGTAGGTTTGTGCGAAATTTCTGAAGAACAACAAACAAACAAGTAATTTATATGCGTTCTAATAGGGCAGCGAAATTATATTGACGGAAGAAAAAATAATAAATCTTTTATTTTACCTCTCTCGTGAATAACAGTCAGCTTATTAACGAAAAATAAAAAATTCTGTTTAATCTTGTTACTTTCTCCATAGGTCAACGGAAGAAATATTTGCCTTGTTTATCAGTATCGCTTTCTGTGTTGACGCTGGAAGAGATGTGTATAAAAGTAAGTTTAAATACTGCCTAAGTTTATAAAACGATCTCACCGCTGAAAGTACGTGTGGCAAACAGTTTAAAAAAAATACAATTTAATCATACTGACATACGAAGTTCTCAGTTTTATTAAGTATTTTGACTTTCCGCTTCATTTTTGTCTCCCCAACATAATCACATATTGAACGTCGTGCGATAACGACAATAGTCCTAACTCTTTGTGGCATAGACTCCAAAGATACCTCAAGAAGTATGGTCTGTATTAATTTCATGGATGTTTTAGGGGGTTAGGTTTAAGAAGGCGATGTAAAAGCAGAGTGAAAGGGCACAGCTGTATAATGAGAATGATCGATAACAACATTCAGGTATACAATGTGCCTTAGTTGATATCGTAAAGAAATCAAATGATCTTACGCAGTTTGTGACGTCATACCAAGTGCTTAGTAGGGGCCACACACGACTTTCTCAATATATATATATATCGTTATTATTATCGACCGTCTTATAACACACGAATTAGATGTTAAGTTGCAAAAACTGAAACTGGTGGAAAAAAGATTGTTTTTTAATTGTGGATATAATGTGTTTGCAGATTCGATAAATTGTAACTAAAATTTACTATTTTTTTAAATGTTTTCACCCTTTCAGATTTTCAGAAGTATTACTACGCACCGGCATGTGTGGAACAAGAAACTTTCTTTTCCCAGCTCTCTGATTGGCTGGATAACTCCACCAATAATAACTCTCAGTCACTAATTGCACTGCCAGACTGTAAACGCGAAAACAGCCTACTGTTTTTGTTGTTGATGTTCGGAACTGTCTGGCTGGCAGTGTCTTTATATAACTTCAATAAAACGTAAGTGATGGAAAGCTTTCACGTCTTTTATTTCAGTAGATTGTTCACAGAAAAAAAATAGGCAATATTTTTACACTACTTCGTATTTTTTCTTCCGAATGAAAAACAAAAGGTTGAAATTGTACACTTTTGGTTACACCAGTTTCAGGGAATAGTACCCCTCGTCAAAACAAGAGCTAGGCCAAAATAAAAAAATAAGCTTGTTTAAAAGCTTTGATTTATTTAAGTAAAGTGATATAGTATATAAAATATTATAAGTAATATGACATAATATAATAATAACATCTAATAAATTAAACAATAACCGCACTGCTTTGCACGTTCAACTAAAATTTAAGGCTAAGTCTATTAAATGAAAAGTTAGGCTTAAACGTCAGTGGAAACAAATGAAACAATACGGTTCGGTTATTTTTTAATTTACGAATATTAGCACTGTAGTAATTAATAAATTAGAAGAAGTTGGCTAGCCTAATTTGGTTTTACCTGAAGTTGGACAGAAGCCTTGTCCGAGAGCTCCATCTTCTTTGACTAATACTAATTGTATCGCAAAAATACATTTCATCCAATGATGTTTATTAGTGTTGTTGTTAATTTATTAATTTCACAAACTGTTTCATAACCCACATATATTTATTAGACCTATATATAAAAAGCATTAACATTTATAACATTAAACACAAAAGTTTTTATTAATTCAGTACTTTTTTTTTGTACCTTAGACCTTACCTACAAGCAAGTAAACGGGAAATGTTAGCCGACTACGCTCTGCCAGTAGCGGTAATTACCTTAAGCTTCATTGGCTCCTTCGTCTTCCAGGACATCCAAAGTAGGAGAAAAATTATTTTACATTGTAACACGTGCTTAGATCTTTATCTTTAATTATCCCCCTAGTGGCAAGATTATAATTTTTTGGGGTATGAATACCAAATGTTATGGTTTTAAAGGTGTCTTTTTGAGTGTGTGGAAACTGGTTAGCTGACAGATACCTTAATCAACTAAAGTACCATTACAGAGGAGTGAGACGTTATTATGTCGAAACATTTATCACATTTACTTGAAGTAGTTCTAATAATTTTGTACCAAGTCGATCATCAAAAAAGTATTAAATTATTATTCAAGCTGTTAGTTTCTTTTTGTAATGAAACTGTGCTGATTTGGGAACAAGTCCGCGAATTTGTAGAGGGCCAAAGTTGGAAGTGTATCAGGATTGTCATAAGTTTGGGGGATAATCTCCACCAGAAGACTTTACAGTGAGAACTTCAAAATTTCGATGGAGTGGGTGGAGGGAGGCAAGCTATGATAAAAATCAGCAAAACAAACAAATAATTTATGTGAAAATAAGCATCTTGCAAGACCTTTATATTTTAATTAGACTTCTTTATCTCCAGATGCAAAATTCAAGAGTATACAAAACAACATCGTCCTTAAATATATTCCATGTTAACGCTACAAAGAAATATTCAAATTATTTTCTTTGCCTGAAACATTATTATATACGTGTGTGTATTTGAATGCTGCATGCAAAAAAAATAAAACAAATCCGCGCTTAGATACTGGATTACAATATGTCATTTACAGCTCACTCGCGCATTTTATAAAATAAATATTTGATGTAAGCTTTAATAACACAGATCTGTGAATTTAAACTTCATAAAAGTTTTTTTTTGGTTTTAATAACGGATTTTCCATAATTCAGCTACGCAGATTTTTTTTTCTGTCACGTAAGGATTTTTTTACAAATCGGGAAGAAACAAAAACTCTTTCTTAGATCAAATTATTATTTCGTTTATCACAATGAACATTTCTTATGATTATGTTTGTTAACAAAAATAAAAACAAGCTAAAGAAAAGGGAAGGACATTGATGTAAAACGAATATGGATCCTCATTTTTTTGTGTGTGAAATCTACGTCTTTTAGTCTTAAAACTACGTGTTGTGGTCTTTCTTTTATGTATTGCGTTATGACGTTTTGTGATAAATCTGTACGTGATAGAGACAAATGGATATCATTTTCGGATTCGGCGTACAGGAATTACTGCAGAGCATGTACAACTCTCAAGACAATAAAACCATCGCAGCCCTGTGTAATCTTATAAATAGAACTGTTCATTTCATTTAGTTCAGCTATAACATCAATTCTTGGAATGTTTTGTCGTGATATTGTCTTGTTTTAGTATTATCCTTTACGAGTTTATTTTGAAACCTGTCACTATTTATGTTATTAGAAATTTCATAAGAAACTAGCAGTCATGCCATTCTCAGAGTTATTTTTTAGGTAACATAAATACGTACAAATCCACTGTGGGCCTTGTACATTGGATCATTAACTCACTATGATTTTATTTAAAAAAAAATAATATCGCTACTTCCAAACGGTTTTTCTGTAGCTCATAAATTCGTTTTAGGAAGGACGGACAGGATATTTCAAACATGACCTTTATGCGGCTGTCATTTAAATGTTCCACTATTAAGATAAAGAAAAGTTCAAACGGTTATGCGTATGTTAAAAAAAAAAATTCTAGACACCAGAGAATGCATCGCGTTAAAATTCTTTTTTTAAAATATGTCATCAATTTGCAGCTTGCTTATCTTAAGTTTTTACAGTATGAAACAAGTGATATGCCTATGTGATCAGGTAGGACACAAAAAACCCGTCATTCAAACCATTAAATATGAATAAACATTATTTGTTATTCACCTGTGCATCACTTCTTTTATATCCCATTTTTTATGAAGAAATTTAAATTTCGGGAAAGTCACGTTCATGTTAAAATAACTTGTCCTCAGTACGAGAAGTCCAACTATATCTTGTTATTCTGATGGGTAGAGACATTAAAAATGAAGATATTTCTCTTTTTTTGATCATCAAAATTTATAAGTAAAAAACCTCTTCCGGATGGTATAGTTGTCAAATTTTTTACTTTGTCATTTGCTGGATTTTCATGTTATTATGAACATTTTTTAAATGTTAAAGGGAAAAAAAAACATTGTTAAGCAATTGCTTTTACCGAAATTTAGCTCTCTAAATATTTCGAAGATGAAGATAATACATTACTTTAATTATTATTGTTTAACTCTAACGAAAGTTTTGACTATTGACCTACAAGGGAAGTAGGTTTTCCTGCAAAGAGCTGATTGTGAATTCCTCCAAGAGTAAGAAGAAATATTTACAAGTTGTTTATTTATTCTTTTCAGCTGAACACTTTCACTTCAGCACCAGTATCAGTTTTAGCAGAGGGCGCTTTGAGGAGCTTTCTTGGACAGCCGTTGTTGCTTCGATGGGATTAGGCTTCGCACTATCTCTATTGTTCTTTATGGACCAGAACATTTCCGCTGCCATGGTGAACAACCCCTGCAATAAGTGAGCTTCAATCTATCATATATGACATAGCAGCAGCTATTAGTTGTTGGGGAGAATGTTAACTAACGTGGTAAAATATAGGTTGAATCGTAATCCCTGAAACGTTGAGTATTGTCAGTTTTTTATATGATGATTTTTAGGGTTACTAATGTTACGGAAGAACATTCAGAAGTTATGTCATCTGTCGATACGTATAAATGAGCTCTGTATGAGTATATTATGATTTCTTTTTTCAAAACAAGGCTGCCAATTTTTTTTCTTTGTAAACTAAAAATACTTTTAAAAAAATGAAAAATTGATATTTGGAAAAAATTATAACATATTTGTTTCTAATTATAAAAAATTATGTAAGATATGATAGACATTTCATCTTTCTCAATTTGACGATATACTTCATAGAACTATACCGTTTTAAAACCTAATATTACATCAGCGTATATTCCATATATTGTATTTTTGACATTGAGATGTTCGCCATTTTTAAAATAACCTCTTAATTCCAACGATGGATGGAGCTTATTGTGATGTATACAAAGAAAATCCAGCTGTTACTATTCTAAAAAAAAAAAAGATAATTACAAACTTCTGTAATACTAGACATAGGGGGCAATAGGATCTTGACTTGTAACAGTGACATTTCTGGATATTAATTTAATTAGCTTAACATTTGTGATTATTTTTAATGTGATAAAGGTAACTACATTTGCTTGATAAATTAGAAATCGCATTCCAAATACTAATGACATTAATCATCTAGATTAAAAAAAGGTCCAGGCTACCATCTAGATCTCTTCGTGGTGGGACTATTGAATGGTTTCCTTTCCTTGTTTGGGCTCCCATGGATGCATGGGGTCCTACCACACTCCCCACTTCACGTTCGGAGCCTGGCGGATGTCGAGGAACGTGTAGAACAAGGACACATCTATGAAATGTACGTTATTTTTCATATTTAAGGCTTTAAAGTGGAATATTTCAATTATTATGATTAACTGTGAACAAGGGAAGGTGTAAAATACTGTTGTAAGCTATATTTTTATAATTTTTATTTGGATATCTGTTTGCTTGAGAGAACTAATCATTATGATGATGTAACGATCTAGAAATTGTGTGTATTAAGTAGGAAACGAAAATGATATAAATGCTAGAATGAAGTATTCAGTATCGGGGAGATATTAAGTTTTATAATTCAGATAATAAGCTAAACATTGAGTTAGTCAATATGTTTTTAATCAATTCATTACCAATAAAATTCTACAAGTAAATTTATTTGTAAGTTAGTTGTACACCAATATCAGTGTTTATATTGAAATATTTGTGAAGTTAGGCCTACAAGTGAACGTAGCCAGTAGTAGCAAACGTTATTGAAGAAATAAGTTAGTTCGTTATCGTTCCATGGACAATATAAAACATCCCAGAACATCAACAGGAAAAGAAAAAAAACTAACAAAATGTGAACAGTAGTGATTAGAAGTTAAACTCATGTACAACAGTGGTTATTAGTAAAACTTTTGCAGCACTGGTTGGAGGTAAGAGTATTGTACCTCTGTGGAGAAAAGTAATAATGGACATTGGAAGTAACAACTGAGTTAAAGAGAGATTAATAGTAAAATATTATGTAACAGTGTTTTGCAATAATGTTGTGTACAATAATAACCAGTTGTAGTCGGGATGATAGGTACTGTAATTTGTTCATTATTATAAATAGTATTTCGCATTACAGGAATACAATATTGAGAAATAGATAATGCTAACTTTTTAACTCTTCAGGCTTTTAACGTGAGTACTCATATTTGTATTAAATTATTTATTTGGACTATTACCACGTTTTTTTATTTATTTTTTAATGCACAAGCTTTCGGCTCAATTAACTAAGCCTTCTACAGGTGCGAGACGTTTAATAAACAACAGTAAAAATAAGTAAGATCAATAACAACAAATAACAATAATAAAATTAGGTTTACTTTAATAACAGCGTTAGCGTCAATGCATGGTTTGATTTCTTCAATGAAAGGTAACCAGCAAGTATAAAGGGGGAATCCATGATTTTGGTTAATGCATAACAAACCATAATAACATTGCTTGCTGTGTTTCTTGACCTTGTAACATTATTTTATTTTAACTTATTAGGCTTCAGGCTTATTTTGGTAAAGAAACTTAGGGCACGTTCTTGTTTTTCGTTGTTGCTAGGCAACTTGTGATTCGAATTGTTCCTTTAGATCCTGTTGTTTATTAAACATCTCGCACCTGTAGAAGGCCTAGGAAATTGAACCGAAAGCTTGTGCATTAGAACAACAAAAAACGTGGTGATAGTCCAAATAAATTACTTAATACAAATGTTAAGTATTTGTTTATAGACCGAAGCTGGGTGATTTTCAACTAATTTCATTCTCCTTATACTTTCAGAATTGTTAAAGTTCGGGAAACGCGGGTGACAGGCATTATATCTCACATTCTTATTGGTCTATCAATATTCTTGCTCCCATACCCACTAGGCTACATTCCTATTGCCGTTTTAAATGGGCTGTTTCTTTACATGGCTGTGACATCTTTAAATGGTAACCAGATGTTTGAAAGAATTACCTTGCTATTTATGGAACAGGTTTGTTTGGACATATCTTTAATTGTTTGTTGTTTTGTCAGTCTTTACTTTTTTGAAAATAACTTAATTTTTTTTTTGTTTCGTGTGCATATTAAAATTCTTCTTCTCAATGTTCCCCTTGTGTTGTTAGTTTCAAGGTTTTTCTCCCGGTTAATTCTTACTAGTTAATGTATTTCTCTTCCATTATCAGTAAATTTATTTTCCTCTCAGATTTATCAATATATATATATGTATTTGTTCTCCTAGGTCCATAATATTAGCAAAGTCCTCTCCAACGTTTATCAGTACACCCGTTTGCCTGTACAGGAATGTAATGAGACACCTGTAATTATCTTGATGTACTCATGAAGGAAAATTCACTTTCTGAAAGTGCTCAGATTATTAGTTTTCTTTTCTGATGCTATTCTTTTTTTTTATTTTTACTGTTTTATCTTGCTTGCTTTGGAATGATATGTTATTATTATTATTATATCTGTTTTATTCTCCAAACTTTTATTAACAATCCTGTACTTAATTAAGAGTTATTGAAGAATCAAAGTTATAATACACATTTATAAATACATGTATGTTAGCCCCTACAGGGTTATCAGTACACCTGTATTAACCCCTACAGGTTAATCAGCACACCTGTATTAACCCCTACAGGTTAATCAGTACACCTGTATTAACCCCTACAGGTTAATCAGTACACTGGTTTTCTCTCCAAAAGAGTATTGCTCATTTGGAATAACCCTCTGTGTGTGTGCCAGTACATCTGTTTTTCAGTTCAGGTGATGTAAATAATTACCAATATTAAAATTCTAACATAATGAAATGCAGAGAAGCAAAGATGAAATACAGTTTTATATTGCCAATCATAACTGGCTATTATATCACTTGCAGACTGCCTATCCACCAAACCATTACATTAGACGTTGCCCACAACGAAAGATTCATGTATTCACCATTTGTCAAGTGATTCAACTGGCTGCCATGTGTTTTTTTGGTTTCTCACCCTGGCCCTATGTAAAGATGGTGTTTCCCGTTATGATTCTTCTGCTTTTACCCATTAGGTAGGGAACAGAATTCTTCATCTATTTCTGTATTCTGCAGTTGATAAATTATGTGCATGTAAAGTACGTCTTTCTAATTCATTTCTAACTGTAAGTATTCCAAAATTTGACAGAATACTTGCGTCAATATGGCAGTAAATCTCTGGCAAAAGCGGGCAATAATCTAACCTACCTCCTACTTTAAAAAAAATAGTTTGTATATAAAGAAAACGACTAACTGAAAATAAATTTCCCATATTTTAGTAAAGTTTTAAAATTGTAAGGCACTTTATGTAATTGTGAAGAATTAAGTTTTTGAACAAAAAATATGATTTAATTAGATCAAAATTGGTCCATTGTAAGGAAAAAAACAAACATTAGCATCTAATATTATTTCCTAGAATTATAAATGGACCTTTTCTCCACATTAAAATACGTTTATTGCGATCTTTCGGCCCTGTTACCGGAGCCTTCATCGGATTGTTGCCAAAAGCTCTTCAATGAAAATATGTTACCTTAGAGAAAAGATCATTTATAATTGTACATATTAATTTACTTACTTTGTTAGTCTTACACAACAATTATCTAACATTAATATTATTTGACTACTTGGCTGATCTCATGAATTTCCATTACAGACACAAGGTGATACCTTATCTTATTCAAGAAAAGTTTCTGGAAGCTCTCGATGGTGAGCATCAGTAACTTCAAGAAATAACTGCAATAATTCATCTCTGACAGAACCACTACCTTCGGTTTGGGATGCAGCGATCTCGTGCACTGCACTCATTCCACAAACCTTTCCTGCTCAATTATGAAAGAAATATGCGTCCTAGAAAAAAGGTTGTACATAGACATTTGTACAGACAAAGAAATTAACCAAAACACATCGAAAGTCCCCATGTGTTTATTTCTTGTTACCCAATCATCAGTGTCACGATATTAATGCTGTAGTTTGGGGCACATAGATACTATATTATTTGTGTGTATGTAATATATGCATATGAAATTTATATGATTTATTATTGATATTTTCTAAACCAATTAAAATAATTATTAAAAACATTACCAAGCAGGTTTCCAAGTAGCGATAGACGTATTAACCTACCTCTCCACGTCCATATCTCGATAGAGCCTCTACTCTCGTTATAATGATCTATTGTCTGACAAAATACCCTCGTCAACACTGACGCTAGTCACCATGGAGACCACCCTCAGCATATGCATACTTACATATATACAACATAAAGCTGTTCACGCAAATCACCCTGGTTTTTACCTCAAGTTGATAGGTAGTTAATGATGTAACTAGGAAAGGTTATCAAATTTAAATCATCTGTGTACATTTAACAACTACAAGGTGAATTCCCAATCTGTCTAACTTTATTCTGGTGTTGGTGTTTGAAAATTGGTCAGTTAGAGTAGGGTTAGTTGTAGTCAGTGTTGAAGTTTACTTTATAGACCTTCCAACAGTCTGTTCTTATTAAACTGACCAAGAGATGAAGGTAATACTGAAACTTTTATTAAACTATTTCAGACTTGTTAGTTTTGATTGTGTAGGTTAATAGTCAAGGTAATATTTTATAAGTACACCTATGCAAAATATTTTATCATTTAATTTACAGTTGTCAAGTAGAAGTGGAAATAACCCTACTAGTATTATAGAGAAACGTTTATGAATTTTTCGCTTCAAGTCAATGAATCTGAAAAATAAGATGGTTAACTACTGTGAAGGGAAGAGAAAATATGTCATTAGCATAATGCTTATTTATTATTAACCTTTCTATGAAATCTGTGAATATGTATTTAAAAACTAACAGAATTCAGAACAAACAAGTACTACCTATAAATCTGCTTAACCCCCCTTTTTTTATCATTTTATTCAAGTTATTCCGGTATTTGGCTGCTTTAAAAGGTGTAAAGTAAATAGTAATTTTTTTTTATTTGTAACAGTAAGTTTCCTATAAGGCTAAGGATGACAGTCTTCTTTAGAGAGTTTGTATGATTTGAACCTAATATTATTATATAACCTATAATAGAAGTTATGAGATGTTAAATAGAACATATTTTTAAGGATAAAGCACTTGATGTGTGTATATAATCAACCATTTACTAATCACTTAACGCGACTAACGAACACCACATATTAAAAATGTATTCAACAGTGACCCATGTGGTCTGCAGTCTTTCCACCTTTATACCTTCTTTAAGCAATCTGTCGTAAGTTACATTTGCAACAGATAAATAATTATTATATTTCTGTAATCCACACTAAACTTTGTATCAAAATAAAGACAAATAATACAGATTACTGTGAGAGTTAAGATTCCATATAAATATAACAAGTACGTTCAATTTACATAAAGTAATCACTACCAAGAACAAGTCCATTTGAAGGTCGGGTCAAAAGGCCATGGGTATAAGCAAGAGTTTGGTAACCTCTAATAAATCAGGTTGAAAGATCAGGTCACTAGTAAAAGTTAAGGTTGTTAGTTAATGAAAGGTCGATTGTTTTATGATCATTGCATCTCGTTTTTAAATTTGTTTCATGGGGTGGAACGAGGTTAGAAGGTAAACAGAAATAAATGAACAAGACAAATCAGGATACAAGTTACGGAGTCAATGATCTTCCAAACTTTCTAAATATCATTATTAAGCATGCCAAAAAAAAAAAAAAAAGAGTTGTTACTGGTTTGAGAAATTTTTGTTGTTAGGAAAATAACTACATATTTTAGTTTATGACATCTACTGTCGTACACTTCATCTAGTTCTGGTTACTTACGGAGCTTTTAATCTCTAAAAGTATTTATACAGGCTTAGCTAGCAGCCTGTAACAAGGTGTAGTTAGAAGGTAGTCACTGTTTAAATGAATGTTCTATGCTGTGATCTAATTGTAGCCTGTTAATTTCTTGCTGAATAGGTAGATTATGCTGTAAGTGGTCTATTTAGCGTGTAGAAAAAATAGAAACGTGTATAGAATGAATGTGTAATTCAAAGCCATGTTTGATCTTGTTATTATTTATACAAACTACCATAGATTTTTGTAACTGTAAGATAAATTTATGGAAGGCAACCTGCATGGTAAATAGTAAACAAGTTAAAGAACAAATACTGTTATATATATATATATATATATATATATATAGTTGGAATATATGCTTTCCATCTGTTAAATGATTATTATTATATAGGCAACTTTGGATTCAATGCTTGCAGACATTTGGTATGTTATATATGCTTGCAAAGGAAGTAGTAACTAATGTTCTATATATAAATATATAGCTCTTACTGTAGATACTGTTTTTTTACAACAGTATATCAGAGATTAAGTAATAGGAAGCACTTTATGTGACCAGTATAAATTATGTACATGACAAAAAAAAAAAAGGTTACGGGTGTTATTTTAATGTAGTAAAAAATAATGCTTAGCAGTTGTTACTAAGTAGCTACGAGCCAGTCCAACTTATTTTAAGGACTGTTACTGTGATTCAACTCCTTTTTATTGTATATTGTACAATACAGGGTTGAATCACGCACAATCATTGTAAACAAGAGAAATAATAAAAGAAAAGATAACAGAATCGTTTCCTAGTGTTTCTATAATCCGTGAGACAACAATGTTTCACTTTCTACCTTTACATTCAAATTATGAAATATTATTAGCTTCTTTCTAAAGGTAGGCTTTAACTTTAGTGGCCGTGTAGATTGCCTTAATGTGATTTCTGTGTTTATATATACCTATAAATCAATGTATAATGCCAGATTCAGTATATGTTTAACTCCAAGATCTGTAACATACTGGTTTGAATGTTATCAATTTTTTTTTTCCTTTCTTGAACTAAATATATTTTCGATGAATGTGTCTTAGAAGAAAATTATCCAAAAATACAAAGGTTTTGACACATATCACACGATATTGTATCTATTTCCTACATTTTAATAACCTATTTTCTTGGAGTTATTTTAGCACAGATATTAAAAACATTCAAATATCAATGAAACTGTCTAGATGTAAAATAAAAACAGCCAAGTTCAGGGTTGAAATTAGACCCTTTAAGGCCCAAATGCAATAGCAAGCGATGCTGGTAGCCCCTTCCTAGAGAGATTCAAATGCCTGATAAAAATTGAAAAATGATTCAGTTTCGAAGAACTCCACCTTGTGTTGCTCCTGCATGTATTTTTTAGGCCAGGAAGCACTAACCCAGAAGTTTTAGCCTGATATTGGAATATGGTAACATCCGGATCACTCTACCTCAAGTAAATAATATTTTATCTGACCAACAATGAAACTTTACCTTTTATTCCATCAGGACATACAGCTCTATAAATGTCCTTTGCTTGCTTTAGAGGCTGCAAAATCATTGATAAAATTACCATATGGTACCTCTCTTGTAACTCCATGCTTGATGGAAATCTGAGCAAGACCATTCAAATGTCCCTGGGACATGATACACCTGAAAGTTTTATTCAGCTTCAAAGATGAAAATGTCCTTTTGCCTGAGGCAACTATTACAGGCACAGTCAACAGTAAATGCAAAGGAACAGACAAGTTTGGATAGAAGTCTATTAAGTATATCTTTGAAGTTGACGATATATTCAAGAATCTGAATTGGTGGAGAGTCATTGTGTGATAATTCTTTAATTGCTCGTGATACTTATAAATGTAACCCATTAGAGCCAGTGCACTCCATTTTGTTTGCAATCCTTGCACAACTAGCTTTTAGGGTGTTTTGATCTGAAGGCATTTTCATATCGCTGGTAGAACAGAGAAATCCAAAGACATAATAGAAAGTTTGAACTTGAGAAAATTGCTTGGTTATGTTACTTAGAGCAATATCAATAAGTGGAAAAAAAAAGCTTTGTCGGTACTTAACCTCTGGAATAATGATATCTGACTGTTCTTTACTATCGTAAGCAAAAATTCATATTCTTTTTTTTTTGTTACCAACTCTGGAAATACTCTTTCAACTTCCATAGCTTCAGCAACCCCTCTACCATCCAGCTGAGCCTTTACAAAACCGTTCTCTCTCTCTCTCTCTATTCTTGCAGAAACATACAGATAGTTTAAATTTCCTTAAAACTAGGGCCCCAATCAGTAAGGCACCCCTACTGATGATCAGGACCGTCAGTTTAACTCTCTATTTTTTCGATAAATCTTTTACTTATTTTAAATATATTTTATCTGTTATTTGTTCTATTCTTACTCAATACTGACTAGATCAATTTGACCGACCTCGTAACCACCATAACAATACAAAATAAATAAAAATTACCATTTCTAAAATTTCTTTCTAAAATTGCTTCAAATTGTAGCAGGAAACAACATTTCTTTACACCAAATAGTTTAAAAATTCTTAACCTTATACAAATGTTTATAATTAAAATTGTTGTTTTAGTGCCTTTTGGACCGTGATTTTTAAAATTCACGCCGTAAGAAGTGTCAAAATATGCGGTAACATGAAGCAAATGTTACACTAACCAAGTTACATAAACTATGTAGTTCGTATTACTCGTGAGCTGTTAGTCCTAGCGAGTGTACCTCGTAGAATTTTTTTATCATCATTATATTTATTTATATTACCTAATTTAACCTTATCTAGCTAAAAGGCTTCTAAGTTTTACATTTTTAGTTACTTTTATAATAATAAATAAAGAATATATAAGAAAAACAAGAAATATATCACTCACCTGTGTTGTCGTTTTTTCTTCTTATTTTTAGAGTTGACTGTCCTTCTATGTTAGCCCTACTACTTTACATCAATGCTACTTGTCCACAAAATAATTTTTTAAAGTATATGATGAAGGGAATAACACAGAATAATTTCACACGAACAGCTGAGTCTTTTTGTGAGAAATTTTCTGGCTCTCTAATCACTATGTGAAGAATTCGATATAATCGAAATTCAAGCTCATCAGCTTTCAAATATAGTACTACTAGAAGAAGAGTTTAGGAGTGAGATTTCTAGAAAGAGAAAAGAAAGCTGGCAAATTATGAGACTTCTGAAGGTGAAATTAGTTTATCAGGAACTCAGAAGTTTCGCATAGAAAATTTTGTACTGGTAGTTGACAAGCTACAAATGTGTTTGGAAAATCGACTTGCTGCATATAAAGCGACAGAAATGAAGTGTGGTTCTCTGTTTAAAAATTTAAATAAGACTAAAATTTTTTCTGCAGCTAAAAGATTTGGAGACATATACTCTCCAGATCTAGACAGCTCTTCTCCCGATGAAAGGGTATAGTTTGTGAAAGTTTTGTTAGTGAAACACCATCCGCCCAACAATGCATCAAAGCAATCAGAAAAAAAAAACAAACTCGAATCTGTTTTTCCTGATGTTGACTTGGCATTAAGAATATACTTATGCCTACCTGCCACGAATTGCGGTGCACAGAGAACTTTCTCTAAAATGGCTAGAGTAAAAAATGAATTGCGTGCTTCGATGTTAAATGATGCTTCTGTGTTAAATGAACGCTTAAATGCCCTTTTCTTGCTCACGATAGAAGGGACATTGCTTAGACAAATAGATTATGAAGATGTAATTAGAAATTCTGCTTCCGCCAAAGCAAGGAATAAACGATTTTAGGGTAATGTTTTGGCATATTTCCGTAATGTTGTACAATAATTATATTGTTTTTTATGTACTTAATTCATTCTTACTTGTCATGTTGTACAAGTAAATAATTATTATTATAATCGTTTAATTTTAATATATCATCCTTAAAAATTAGATATATCATATTCTAATTTACTTTGAATAATTAACTCATATTCTGTAATTAACTTAATATGTATTAATTACAATTAACTTCAAATTTGCTTGTACCCTATTCAAGGGGCCTCGTCTCAAACTACCTTAACGGGCTTGCCTTACAGAGAATGTTAATGCTGTTTCATGACTGCAATAATTTGTTGGCTCTGTTGACTTGGCATAAGAAATCATACCAAATTACTACAGAGATGACGAACTTCAATGAAGCAATGTAATTGGTTAAACTTGATGCATCCAAGGTTGTAGCTTTATCTTTCTTGTCAGTGGCATATCTGTGCAATGTATTCAAAGTAGCATATAGTACCTTGAAGATGGTATCAGAAACCTTTTGCAACCTCAATTGTACTTTTCCAACATGTATTCAAGAGCCTTTTTAAAGTTAAACCAGCTTCAGAATTGTCCAACGCTGCTCTAAGCTATTGGAAATGGTATATGGCCAAAAATATTCAAGGCATGCACTGTTGACTTTACAGCCTCTAATATCAGCAGGATTAGTGTATGGCTTGCACAGGTCATATACATTGCTTCGTTATTGATATCCAATAGCCTTTTCTGAACACCTTTATTGATGCCCTTCATATCGGAGCTATTATCATAACATAAGACTGGCTTTGCAGTTGTTAATATCAATGTTCAACTTCTGTATATAAGACAAAGAAGCTTCCAGCAATCCTTATCCACTGGATTTATCAATGGTAAAACATTCAGTGAAATGCTTGGAAACACGAGCACCAACTGACACACAACAATTAACAATACAAAGACTTATTGATAATTGCTCCTCATGACTAAAACCAGGAGTACAGTCCATTATCACAGTAAAATATCTAGCAGAGTAAACTTTCTTAACTATCTGTTACACAACACGATTTCCATAGAGATGTTCACGGAATCTGTCACCTAATCTGCGTATAGTTTCTCCAATATAGAGTTGTTTACATATAGTACAACGAATGAAATAAATAATGCACTCTAGTGTATAGGTGAATTGGCCTTTTGCATGAAAGGTAAAGTTAGAACTAGAGAGAGTCAGTAAGTCGATTGCGAGGTAAATGGTTCGTCCACACACACGAGTTCCGTTAGTTTGTACAAGTAAAGACACTTCAGTCTGTAATTTGGAATGTACTAGACAGTCTTTCAAATTCTTCTCACGTTTGAAAGAAATTAAGGATGGGGGTGTAAAAATGTCGTTAGATATGTTGTCTCCTGTTAGTAAGGTAAAGTTGCTTTGGACGATTCTGGTAATCTGTCTGGTTAAAGGATGGTATGTAAGGACTAAAGAAACTCTGTCACTATGCGATTTGTCCTTAGAGTGGAGACGGTCAGCTTGTGATAAACTGAATGTGGCATTATCT